ACCCACACCACAAATTATAAAACCAGTATTTATCTTATAACTACCACCATCTCTTTTTAAACAAAACAGCGTATATAAAAATTAAATTTCAACACACACCCCCCCCCCCCCCCCCCCCCCCCCCCCCCTCTCTCTCTCTCTCTCTCTCTCTCCTCCTCTTTCCTTCCTACCATTCTTCGTAAAACCCACCCCAACATCCACCACTGCCAATAATCCCACCAGATCAAACAAATCGACACGGGAGGAAAACGTAAAACGGTATTCTCATCGAGGATCGGAAGGGAATGGCGGAGAGATAGGAGACATGTCGTCCGGGACGATCGATGGGATAGATGGAATAGGTAGACAGAGGGGTAGTAGTAGCGAGCGGTTCACTTGAAGGGGGTAAAGGTAGGTAGGGAGTTTCGCTTCACCTCTTCTTTACAACCTATAATAAAGACGCAAGCGATCAGTCAGTCGATTCTTGATTCCTCAAATTGTATTGTAAATTTACAATCGCGTGACTCTTGGCTTGTGTTCTTTGCTGTCTTAAAAACTTTATGGCCTCTCTTTAAGTCCTCTTTTTTTTCTGTTCTTTCTCTACAGATCACGCCAAGAAGAGAAAAACCATTCGTCATAGTTGCTGACGGCTCGCAGTGTATGTAGGTTAGGTGTAGTTCCTCCCCATCTAAACACAGGCAAAGACAAAAAGAAATCCCAGCACGAAAGCGAGAAACCTATGCCATACGCCACATAGCAGCAACATCATTCCATATCATATCTCATAGCATTCAAGGAAGGGGAAGATTTACTTTTCAGCCGGGGTGGTGGCGAAGGTGACGCCCTTCTCAATGTTACCCTTCAGGTCCTTAAGGCAGACCTCTAGCAGACCCTTCTCTTTGTCAGTGAGGTCGGTGAGAGGGTTGGTGACGCTCTCGACACCGTTGGGCTAAAGTAACAATGGTAGTTAGCTACATGCTCGGTACAGAGACGACAAAGGTCAGTAACTTACGCCAAGCTCGACTGGAACAGAGAAGAAGTCCAAGCCAGTGGCCTGCTTGATTGCGTCACCTCCTGGAACACCGGGTAGGTAGACATAGCTGGGCTCGACAAGGCCCTTCTCGCCCTTAACAGCCTTCAAGACCTTCTCGGCAAAGCTATATGAAGTTAGTCATCTATACCTGAGAGGCAGAGTAGTTAATCCTACCGGTAACCAGCAAAAGCCATGGATAGGGTAGCAGAGCCACCGCCACCTTGTTCCTTGGCCTTGACGACCTCATCGCCACCGAACTGGACACGTTTGACGAGAGCATCATACTTGTCATCTGGAATGTTGACCTTGGGGCTAGCCTTGCTGAAGAGGGGGAGGATGGTATCGCCAGAGTGACCTCCAACGACGGGGATGGTCAGGTCTGAGCCAGTCTTTGTGCCAGTGAGCTCGGCGACGAAGGTCTCAGCTCGGACGATGTCGAGGGTGGTGACACCGAAGAGCTTCTTGGGGTCGAAGACGCCCTTGGCCTTGAGAGTCTCGGCGGCAATAGGCACGGTAGAGTTGACGGGGTTAGAGATGACGAGAATAAAGGCTTTAGGGGCGACTTCGGCAGCAATCTCAATCAATCCCTTGACGATACCAGCGTTGATCTTGAACAGGTCGTCACGGGTCATGCCGGGTTTTCCTAGGAATTGTGAGCAACTCGTCGTGGGGTAATAGTTCATGTTAGTTGGGACATACGGGGAATACCAGCAGGGATGACAATAATGTCAGCATCTTTCATTGCGGCCTTTCCGCCATCATCCTTGGGCAGGTAGGAGGTCACTTTCTGTAAGATACGTTTAGACGTTGTCATCCTCTTAGCTAATCCACGAGGGACGATTATTGCTTACGGCGGTGGTGGAAATGTGCGATAGATCAGTAGCAACGCCGACAGTGGCCGGTACGACATCGTAAAGAGCAAGCTCATCAACAAGAGGACATAGCTTGAGGAGGAGAGATAGCGGCTGTTGAACTCGAACATTAGCTCTCGTCCTAGGTCGGCTCGTTCGTCTATGTCCGATGGACGGTGTAGTTTAGCTGTTTGGAGACAGTTTACGAACCTGGCCAATACCGCCAGCGGCTCCGGCAACGACTGTATGACGACAGTGTTAGCCTTGAAATGACCAGATGTCTGGAGAGCTGTTTGTGAGGCAACTTACCAGCTTTAACCATCTTGACTGTTTTATCTGTTGAGGTGGGGTAGAAGAGCTCGAGATGACTATGGCGGGGTCAACAATTGGCCAGGGACCAGCTTGGCTCGCGATGAAGGGAAGCTGTAGGGAGCTGTTTGTTTGGATAGAAGAGGAGAGGAGGTGTTCAGGAAATCAATTCGACACACAACAGGAAGGACGAGAAGGAGATAACAAACCTTTCTTGTTTTATACCTATGTCTGGAGGAGAGAGAGAGAGCTTGGGGGTGGAAACCTAACGAGAAGCAGATGGGAAATGCCAGTGAGCGGGTATGGCGGGTGGTGGGGACCTTGTGTGATGCGCGAAATAATGCGGGGTTAATGGTCTAACTATCTCTCTCTCTCTCCAAGCCCCGCCAGGCTCTGTCTGAGGTACAGATTCACATACCTATCCTTACCTACAGATACCGTACTACTACTACTATACTGTGAAGATCAACCTATCGTATGCTCGGGCACCGCTCAGGCTGAGGGCGGTCACCTCGATGTACACTAATCCATGTTACTGTTGAGAAGCTTCGGGGGGGTTTCCTGTTCGGCGAGGGAAAACCTGGGCGTCTACGCTAACCCAAGCGTCCTGCACCCCGATCCTCCATTTGCAGTCACGTAGGCAGGCAGGCAGGCAGGCAGGCAGCTAGCTGGTTCTGTAAGCTGTGTGTGTGGCTCACATCAACTTCATCCCCCCATCACCTCCATCCCACTGGCACATGTTAAGTAAATACCCCTTGATCGCATTGGTATTCCCGTTGTTCCGGGTGGAGAGTGCACTAGTGTCCTAACGCCACGACTCTGGGGAGCACTAGAATACTAGAATACTAGATGAAGCAGATAGGCTTGTCTGTTTCAAGCTGTAACGTCTTGCAACGCCCAGCCCACGGCCTCATGTACCTACATGATACTGGCTGACACCATTCCGCTTGTGAACAGGAGCTGCGTCTATGGCTGACATGCACCTGGCCCTCCATACATATCTTCGTCTAGTCCGAGACTCGGAGGTACGGAGGCTCCAGACATGTGACCGCGTCTCTAGTGGGCCATTGATCCTCTACTGCTTCGTAATTGCTAATTGTAAATCGCTTGTCCTGGGGGCTGCTGTGGGGTTACATACGCATTGTAGGCTATTCTCGCCGGTCCTTTCTACGGCCGTCTCTTGCAGTATCCAGCAAGGTGAGCACGGCGACTAATCCCGAGATGTCACCAACATCCCTCTCCGAGTGGTTCTGTTCCCCGAGACTCATGTATAATATCGGGCCGGCTCGGATTATTAGAGTGGCCATGTACATAGTTGTTTGGTTGCCGTATTAAACATTTCGACATTCTCGTGGCCCTGGCATTCGCCCTATTGGTGACTGATCAGTACACGCGGGATACTTCGTATAAAGACTAGGTTTCCCGTCGACTCGTAACTGCCACTTTCGCCCAAGCGCCATCACTATTGGACTGATTTCGTTTTCATATTCATTGATCAAGTCTGCCACAGAATTTCAATCACCGACGCAGAAATGAGTAGATGACAGGGGTTGAAAAGAGGGGTCCCATAGTCTGTAGTCTTGAATCTTTTTTTCTTATCATGATTGTGACTACCAGTTGCACGAAAGCAAAATATGATGCCTGTCCGCCGGTTGACCTAGCCTAATCTAGCCTTCAAAATCCATGCTTTTTGCCGTGCCCTGTACGCTGGTGACCCTTTCAAATTCGCCCATAATTCATGTTAATGAGATTTGTTTGCCTTTTACTCGGCGGCCTTCTTGGCCTTGGCGCCACGGGGCTTGGGCTCGGGGGTAGGCTTGGGCTCCTTGTAGGAGTGGCGGACGGCGGAGGCACGGGCAACGGCGGCCTGGCGGAGGTCGGCGCGGTAGTTGCTCTTAGCGGTCTGCTGGGCAACAGCAACGTAGGTCCTAATGGCACTCGTCAACATTCCTTGTTCACGATGTGCGGAACACCCTATAAGAGGCTGGCTAATCGGGGAGTACTGACTTGCGGGCGGACTTGCCACCGCTGTAGGTGGTCTCGGTGATGGCCGAGACGGGCTTGTTGGCAGCCGAGGTCTTCTTGCTCAAAACCTTGACGGCATTCTTCTCACCGGGAACGACACCAATGGCCTGTTTAATTTTGCAAGTGTGAGCTTTCGAATTCATTCGTCAAGTCGTTTATACGTAGCATAGTCTGTTCGTACCTTGTCGTTCACGAAACCGGCCCACTGGTACTTTTTGTTAGCCAAAAATTCACACCAGAAGAAAGCTGCAAACTCTCACCTTGCGCGCATGCTTGTTGGTCAGGTTCAAGTTGTCACGGGAGAACTGAACACCGCCGGAAGCCTTGCGCTTGACGAGGAAGGAGTTGTTGCTACCTGTTGAATTCCATGATTATTAGTTTTTGACTTGCCCCCTGAAAACAACGTCGACTCGCGGGGTTCCGTAGCAAGGGCAGAACTCACGAACAATCTCCCAGATCAAGTCGGCAGAAACCTGAGAAGAAGCCATTGTGAAATTGCTGGATTTGGGGGCTTTGCGGAGGTAATTGTCGACGAAATTGCGCAGTCTACTTGATTGCTGGTTGCTTGTGATTTCGTCTTTACCCAGGCCCAAGATGGTGCGGGAATCGCTTAATTCGCCTAATGCGTGTTAGTGGCATCTTTAATTGCAATGAACGCGGACACGCAATAACGCGGGCATGCACGGTCCACACCTGTCTACACTTGTTGGGATGGTCCCTTGAGTGTTTGCAGGACTTAGGTACGTACCTTCCATGAATGCACTTTGTCAGGGAGGAACGGGACGACGGAGGACAGGTGGGGCCGTGAGTCTCAGCCAACAACCCAAGCGTCGACTTGTCGTCAGACGGGCTGTCTCAATAGGCTAAAGCCTCATCATCGTCGCCTTCAACTTACTCATTTCACATCCTCGACTTTTTCGAAAGCATCGAGTCGCGTCTCGACACGGCTCACAAATGGCCTAAGCAACAACGCGCCAGTCTTTTCACAGCCCATTTCACTTTCTGCTGCCCTGACTTTTTCCTTATCAAGTTTCTAATCCTTCATTCCCGAATCACAACCATTCACTCGGTGTACATCGCCCGTCTGTCGAGCATCGGAACCGTTCCTCATATCGATCTCCAACTACATCCGAGCTAGCCGACCGAATCACGCATAAAAAGACAGACAAAATGTATCTTCTCTACGGACTCACCTTCATCGTCATCATCGCGGGGACAATCCTGTACCTAACGCGGAACTCCTGGCTACATCTCCTCCCAGGCACCTCATACCTCTACTCGCGGCTCCCGGGCTCCTTCTCCGGCGACATCGAGGCGGGACTATCAAGCAGCACTTTCGACCTCGGCGCCAACGTCGAATCGGGAGACTCGCGCGCCGGCCTCGACGACGCCGCGAAAGCCGAGATCCTCAAGATCATGAAGAAGCGACGACTGCGCTTCGACGAGGCTCGCCGCGTCTACATGGAGCAGCGCTTCAGCGCCAACGGCATCGGCCCTGACGGGCGGCCTAGAGACCCCAAGTTCGTCAGCTTTTCGTGATGTACACCCCGCGCTATCCGAGGAATAATGTCGAGCGGAGATAATGGGGGTGAACGAGGAGTTTGGGCTGCGCTATGATCGGAGGGGTGGCTAGATGTATTATTTCCCGAAGGCGATGAACTCTGTGTCAGGAGGCTCGTTGTGCCGATTAACTATATCCATCATGCGAGAACATTCGCGATTTCATTTTTTGTTTGGCTAAGGCGTTTGGCGGTTGTCCTTGGGTTTGGGTGCATTTTCACTAGGTTCAGATGTCTCTGTGGCAGTCATCGTCTGACAGGCAGGCGCCATGTTCCGAAGGGCAATATGGCTTCTGTTGCACCCTCGTGAGGAACTAAGAATCACATCCTCGAAAGGCAGTGTACCTACCACAGTGCCCAGCCTCAAAGTTGTTCTTCGAGACACGGTCTTGCAGCATGTCATATCATAATACCCTCTCATCATGCACTAGCATATAACTATAGCAGATGTACTCTGGATTTTTCCTATTTCTTGGTCGAAGAGAAAGATAGCTTGTTGCAATGCAAATGACATTATCTTCATCCTCAGTTTCCACGCCGCCACTTTAACACATCCTCAGCCTGGGCAATCAAACACAGATGATCACCAAGTATGGATTTCAATATAATCATCAAAGCTCAGTTTGTTTAAGCATATTTATATACACATTAACAGCGGCAGTCAGGCTTCTTCGACATCTCGTTGACTCTCTAGACATCCGACATCAGTCTAGATGTCCCATCGCGCTAATTCCGTTTTCCCAACATCTTCTCCCAGGTACTGGAATGGCAGAATGAGTTTTAGGTGGGGTACAATACGGTCAGTGAAACCCTCTGTCTTTTTTCTTCTTTAAGAATATATACAATCATCTTTTTCCCTCTGGAGAGAAACTTCATTACCGACAATCCAGACTTTTGGTCCGGCCTAGTCATATCATTCTATGTTATAAATATTAAAAAGTCGTTATGAATTCGTCCAATCTGGGCTCTGCCGACGGTGGGATTTTTTTCGTCTCCAAGTTGTAAACCCACAGTTTGGTACAGAACATTGTCCCCGATAACGGAGGGCTCTGTGAATTAAAGGGATATTGGAGGCATGAGTTGCATTGGTTTCGCCGCTCATTTGCTCTTTTTTGATTCAGTTCTCTCGTAGACACGGTCATCCACACCCTCGACTTCTTCGGCGATGCGCTCCATATCCTTGACTTGACGCCTCCACTGGGCATCACTCATCTTCTTTTCCTTGTCGAAGAGATCGGCATCGGGCTTGCGGTATGAGCCTCCAAGGCGGTCCCAGAGTGTAGTGTACTGGCCATAGTTGTAGTTGAAGTACAGGTGGTGCATAGTGTGGCAGGCGGCACCGTTGATGACGGGGCTGTCAGCCACATACTCGCCATCGTGGATCATGATGGTCCAAAAGTTGACGAAGACGAAGAGCGCGACGGACGCGTATTTGTTCAAGGGGAACAAGATTGGATACAAGTGGTACGGGAACGACTGCGCAAACCCATCTACGGGGTGAAAAGCGTGGGACGCAAAGGGTGTTGGCATAACCCATTTGTGGTGAGGCTTGTGCAGCTGCTTGTAGACGGCAGGATGGTGTAGACCACGGTGGATTAGGTAAATCAAGGCATCCGTGAAAACCAGGAAGCAGGGGAACTGAGCATACTCGTACCACATGCCCGGGCCATCAGCGGGCGTGTCGTACAGTTTCGTGTATCCGCGGACCTCGATGAGCCAGAACACGGTTGTGAGGATAGCCATACCTGGGAAGGACGACACCGATTGTTTAATTTCCATGGAAATCTGGTTCTTGAGAAATTTGGGGTGAAGTTTCGCGTCCTTGTTGAAGACCAGCCAGTATGAGAGAGAAGCGAAGATGAAGTATAACAGACAGCCGAAGATACTGGGCGAATGTTAGCAAGACAGCTTCATGGAGTAATGAGGTGAGTGTAGATTTCATACACAGTAATGGTCCACAGCGATATGGCCTGTCGAAATATGTTGTCTCTATCCCACGCACTCATGTATGCGTATGGACTGGGCTCGAAGTCAATGTATGAAGAGGCGGGCTTATACTGCCATGACGAGGTCGTCGCATTGTGAACCTCGAGGAAATCTGGCGCAATGGACCGCGCAGGGTGAAGGTTGGCGAATACGTAGTCGCCTAGATAGGTGTCCCAGATCTCGAGAATAACGTCCATGTTGGATGTAGGACGGGTTGTCGACGAGGCGGGAGAGTGTAATGAAAGAGAGGGAGTCTCAAGCACAGCGACTGCGGTGAAACCAGATTAAACACAAACGCTCGGACGCAATGAGGAGGAGAAATAGAAAGGGAATTAAAAGCTCAATTATCTAGAGCAGAAGATCTTGACTAAGTAAAGGGTGGAATGAGTGTATGGGGCAATTCGAATTTCGGTGTTAGCAGGTGGAGCTCGGTAGCGCGCTTTGAAGCTAAGGAACTACCTGGGTAGTGTAGTGTAAATGCACTAGAAATGTAGGTACCAAGCTAGATCCCGCCCTCGGATCTGATAAGTGGGCGAAGGCGAAGACTTAGATCGGGGAGAGCGCAGAGCAGCGATGGCAACTTGACACTAGAGTGAAGAATACTTCGAAATCAACGATGTCTTTCAATGTAAATGGCAGCTGTGTCGCGATTTCTAAGGACTCGGGTTTGTTTCCCTTGTTTCCCCAGCTTCAGCGGCAGCGCAGGTTGGAGAGAATATCTGATATGAAGGGTGGAAACCTGTGACTCGGAGGACCCCTGAAAGACCGTCTTTATAAGGGTACTATAACTTTTTTTTCTTTTAAGGTTATTAGTATGAGGTGGGAGGTGATGACATTTTACTTGTCTGAATGGCGAACTGGTCAGGTATTATATGCGAACTCAGACTGGAATAAGTGTAGCCACTGAGGGCACTTCATCGAACCATAGTGGTAGGATGATGAAAATGAGGGAGATGAATGGTCAAGAAACGGCTCTGGAACAGTGAATGCGAACACGAGCCGTACGATAGTCACCGCCATTACATTTACACTAGGCTAGCGAAGGTATGGCATCATTAAATATACCTACCTAGGTATGTAGGATTTCAATCAGGGCTGGACTGGACGATGAAGTTGCCTTGTGTACTGCCTGTGTTGGATGAGAGCTGAGGTGCCGCAACACTGGGTCACTGCATGCAGGTGCTGTATCCCCACTACCTAGATACCTACTTAAGTACCTAGGTAAGTACTGTAGGTAAGTAGGTACTTAGATCTGCACTGGAGTCCCCTATTGGGCCTTTGACGACCCTTTTACTGGACCATCACACCACTGGAAGCTCAAGCTTCCGGTCGAACAATCCCCTTATCAGGCTGGTCCCGATCAGCAAGATGCCTAGATACTAAAACGACAGTCAGCTTGAGTCGGTACCTACAGAGGTGAGATAGGTACCTACCCACCTTATCGCATGCGTTTTCGTATTCGTATCGAAGATCCTCAGAAGGCTTCTTCCACACTCTTTCATACCCGATACCTACCTACATCTAAAATCTAAACCTTGGAAGGCAGAGACACGCCAAACCTTGCCACCACCACATAAGTACAGTAGTCTCCAGCTGTGGCTCTCAGATGTTACAATCGACTATACTCATTGGCTGTCTCTTCCTGTTTCTAAGTCAATTGACATCATGCTCATTGTACAAAGACGACAACGAATTGACAAATGTTCATATTTATTTATCTAATTCATTGGATCAGTCGCCACATTACAAGGACAAGTTTTTTTTTTACTTCATCTTCTGCCAGATTGAGTGGCAGAATGCTGATGTCAGTATTCCTTGTGACCGAATGCTAGCATTGCACACACAATATCTTTAGGTGACGCACGCCCACGTATGGCATCAATCAAGCCATCAGGTCAGGACTACGGAACAGCCCGTTGCACGGCTTCAGCCTTGCTCGCCCAGAAAACCCCGGGTGACTGCTTGGTCACGGCGAAGGCATGGTTATCGGTATCCTTTCCCAAGTCAGATCCATTGATGTACAAGACACTGCGCTTCTTTCTCGACGAAACAACCTAGAACGACTACTTAAGTGTTCATCTATAGGGGTCGCCAGTCGCCAGTCGCCACGATCTATTGCCCAAAGGGTATTATCAGTGATAGGCTCAGTGTTCAGGTTCGTCAGGTCCCCGCGGGACAGTGTGATCTACCGCCCACTGGCGTATGCTCTCGAAATTTCTACATGTGTGAGGTGTGCTGTAGTTTGGCCACGGGTCGCCGTCGTTGAGTGGGAAATTGAAACTGAAGACCCCTATATCACCCTGGCAAATGACAAACTGTCGCAGTGCATCAATGCAATGGTCGAGATGGTTGCGCAGTTTCGTCGGCGGCGCTGAAATATCGCCCCCGAGGGGAGCATAATACTCCTTGTACGCGTTCTGTCGCAAAAGGTTGAGACAGTGTAGCTGGTGGAACATCTCAATCGCCACGCGATATCCTGGCTTCCCGTTACGCGGATCCGTGATCTTCAACGAGGTTTCGGGATCGAGACCTAGGCTAATCATCTCCTCATGAGATATCATTGTATCGCCGACTAAAATTGGGTTAGCATACGGAATCTTGCTTGACTGCGATTATATCAGGTTACATACCGGCTGAGATATAGTCCCATCTAGCGTCTACATCGTCCCCTTTTCCAATGAACGGGCCTTCTGCTTTCGGGGGCAGATCGAAGTGCTGTGTTTCATACTTAACAGCACTTGCGGCTGGCGCTGTGGGAGGTATTAGCATTCGATCAACTGCTTTTACATCCAGCATCAAGGTACATACACCATGCCGAGTACTTTTGTGTATATTCTAGATCGGATATCTTCGCTGTCCGCGAACAAAAACTCAAAGAAAACAGCAGGGCAGAGAGTGATAAGAGGACAGCATGCGCCAACCATATCCAATGCGGGTTTATATTTCGGGGTATAATAGTTGAAGCTTCGCTGCCGCCCATCCATGTGAGTGTCTCCTCGCTATCGCCACGTTCGCCCTTCTCCAGGAACGGCTCTTCATCTAGATTATATTGCTTCGGCATCGTAAATAAATATGACAAGTAAACAGCACACCTGGTGCTGGAAAGAAACAGAAATATGACAGTATTAGAAATGAATGTATGGTCACACACCGAACCAGCAGCAAGGTGAAGAGTAGAAGCAGAAAAAAAGAAAGCAAGAACCTCGAGTGAAACAGCAACCTCTCTCCTCTTAGTATCGGAGGAAGTTTAGCCAAGCTACGAACTAGATCTAGGTACCCTTTCGCTAAAGCCTGCACTAGAACATCCCCTGACCGATGCACATTGCGTGGAAGCGAAACGCGGTGGAGAACAACAACATCGTGAGCTCTCGTGAAGTTGTAACATCAACGTCTCAAGTTGGGTCGAGGCGAGTGAAGCCAGGCGCTAAGTGCCAAATGGAGTTGGCATAGCTGGCCATGTATTTCCGGTTTGGGAAGGAATGCCTGTTGCGGGACAGGGATGCCTCGAACTCTGAAACGCCACTATCCAATTACCATCACCATGGGAAATAAAATGGCCTCAGTATCGAGCCATTGATCGACGACTAGTCGTGAGGGGATTTTCGTTTCATTGGAGATCTCGACACCTACTGTAGAATACAATACAAACATGAAAATGACCAAAAATAGTGTTAGCCAGCTCGTGTTAAGTCAAGTTGACCCTAATGCGGTGTAATAACCGAAGAATGGCAAGAAATCTCGCATCTGCAATTACCTAATCAAAGCCTACTATCCATGCTAGATCTTGCAAAACACCACCTGGGTATTAAGTGTATATATACCGTACTTACGTATACATAGTACACCGTGCCACTCTGTGGACGTTCTTTCACAGTTTATATGCAAAGTAGGTAGCAAGAAAAGACTAGCATCGATGCACGCTAGATCATAGACTGTATCAACGGCGATACCTAGCTCTTTCTTCCAAGCCTTAGCCTTCAATGCTGGGGACAGGAGGATCCTGCGACGAAATGGTAGATCTTTAGCAGCAGTGATATAGCGATCCACCTAGTGTATCTCTTGGTGAACTATAGTAGAATACGTATAGGTCAAGGGCTGGGATTCAATGCTAAACTTGAAATGGTCAGATCAATATGAGGCGGGATCAATGCTATCGGATCCTACATAGGAAGCATTTCATTGGGTGTTGCAGATAGAACTCGGTGACACATATTCGTTTTAGTCCCCTACATGAGGATTCACTATCGTTGTTATTGTATTATAATGCTCTTGAAGATGGTTCACCCTGGCTGGTACGTTTCTTTGCGAAGGCGCACTGAACAACATCTCTACATAGTACATAGTAGGTATTTGCCTCGCGGCGCACATGGATTATGAGGCTAGAACCAATAGCTGGTATGAATGTTGAAGAGAGATATCTACGCTTTCGGACTCCCCACGTTTCGCCAATTAGAAAGCGGTAGGTCGAGTTATGAAGTACTCCTTGAATATGGATATATTGATTATGTCCCTGGGCTAACTAACCTCGTGAGTGCAATGTACTGAGGTTGGTCTCTGAAAGATGAGCAGAGTCGTGGGAACAGCCCAGAGCAATGTTCCCAGAAGGACTCTAAATTTTTCAGTAACAAGCCGTTACACCGACGACAAGATTGCATGTAAGAACATTATGAAACACTCAGACTAGGGAATGTTGGATAGATAGCTAATCATTGCTTAAAGTCTCTCTCTTTTCTATGTTCCTCATTTACAGTCTCTTTCCCCCACCTGTATCTGATATCCTAGCAGGCTACCCTGGAGTTTACAATTATTGTGAAGAACAACTAGTAACATTTAATGCTCATTTTTTTCCTCGCCAAAACCAGAACCATGTATAGATATATATTAATTTTGAACCTACATATTCATTCACGAGAGTGATTATAACTGAATATTATAACAAGGGCAGATAATTGGGCTTGGAACTTGATGCTATTCAGATTACAATGATCAACTAGAGCTGCATGAGTCCTTGACCAACCCATTCCTTTTCGGCTGTTGGTGGCTTGGCTCGACTCTATATACAACTAGTCTGCCAGCCTAGACCACCTGTGTCTCTAGGGTCTGTTTCAAGAAGTGAAGTTTGTATAACCTCACTTTCCAATATTGCCTGTATGTCTTTGAATGATCATGAACAGCCTGCAATGGCCTTTCGCACGGTCGAAGTGCAAGGCAAACTGCATGCTCAGCTAGTATAGCTTGTGCAGCTTGTACGCGTGTAACATATCGTTCCTCTCTTGCGCATTTGAAGCATCAGTACAGCCCCGTTGGTTATTGCTTCTCTTCTTAAACGTGTTATATACCAGAGATGGATGGTCAGACCACTGCGAAGAGCATCTGAGTGACCGTAACTTTCGGTCCCCGGAATCACGGGATTCCTGGTCTAGCCTACTTTATAACCCGATCAAGCTGGAAGGAGTCGTTGTCACACCAGGACTTTGCCCATGCTGCCTTTCCAACGGCAGCTTGGAACCCACCATAAAAATTACTAGTACAACACCCCGGTGCGGAACAAACTCTGCTCAACAACAATGTATCCCTTTGAACGCGGTTTCAACCTCGGAACACCAAACATAGGGAAGTACAGCCAATCAGAACAGGAGATTTAATGCGATTACAAGGAAAAATTGCCTATAACGATATCCTAGCTTTCCGAGGTTGAAACCGCGTTTAAAGGGATACCTCATGACACACTCTTAAGTAACTGGCTCGCCTCATCTGACACAACTGACTCTGTCTTTAGGTCGGATGTAGAGCCACATCATTGGAGATCTTGCCTGCTGGGTGAACTGTCGGTCCCATGTTCGGAAGACCTTCGACTTGCTGAGATAAGTGCTCGCTGTCACTTCATTCGAGGTTAATTCTCGCAGAAAATCGCGGCACTGCAGCAACACTGGCACTTGGTTAACCCATTGGACTTGAATAAGCATCTTTCCACAAGTCTTCGGCGAGGGTTAATAAGTCGGAAGGCCCCAATCAGAGGATAAATACACTCACAAATTTCTTCAATATAACTAAATCTTCTGTCCCCCTAGCTGGGAGCACTCCATTCAAATATTCTAATCCTGCTCCCGCCTCCTTCCCCATCATTCCGCCTTCGTTAGGTCCTACTCCTAAGCGAAGAGCTTCAACATCAACTCCGTCTTCGCCAACGACTCTTCGCCCCCCCGCGAAAAGATTGACTTACACGCGGACCCTACGTATTCGAATCCACAGTCTCCTAACATGTACTCGCTAGGGGTCGAGGCAAGGTCAGAATCGAGCTTAGGCAGTGCCTCCGACAGCAGTGCTTCAGTGTCGTCTCGAAGCACCGACAGTCTGGCATGTAGTAGAATCACGGCTCGGGCAGGGCGCGATGCCCGGGACACCAAAAGAGTGTTGCAAACGATAAAGCAAGTCAAAGACGGGGAGTACAGGGTCAAGAAAGGTAGTCCAGGCGGGAAGTACTTGATTCATCGACAACTTCACCCTTCAGGCTACAAATTACTACGGGAAGTAGAACTACAGAAGCCCGAGAACAGCGAGCTGTTGGAATACTTCAATGGGGATGAAATTCGGTAAGCTTGATCAAAGATCTCGTCATGACGTCCTACTCATGGCATGCCAGATACGACTACACGCGTCGCCCATACAAGGGTGACAAGCAGTTAGTAATCCATCTGCCTTCAGGTTTCCATGAGATAATGGCTGGCCGTTTTAGCGATATGATTGTTGGATGGCTCGCTTGTATCGCAAATGGTTCACTTTGCCGAGTCGACCGTAGCAAAGAATCGACAATGGAAATTGCAATCAACTCAAGTCTAGCGAAGACGGTAAAGCCTATCGAGCCTCGAGGTGACCGACTCGAGCCCGGCCTCTCTTTCAGACACCAGGGTTGCAGAGTGGCCGATATGGTGGTTGAGGTGGCATGGTCTCAGAACAAGCTAAACTTACCGGACAGGGCTAGGCGGTACATTGAAGGGACGGGAGGCGCCATCCACACGGTCATAGGGTTAAGCATGAATGACATTTATCGTGGTGGACGCCGTGCAACAGTCTCAGTCTGGAGAGCTGAGCAGGAGGGCGAGCGGTGGAAACGATCTACGGTAGTAGACAATATGGTAAGTGCTTCAACCGCGTGCCGGGCTTTACAAAGATGCTCATGACCCCTTCAGGAATTCATCGATGAAAACGGCCAGGCTGTCGATGGATGCGTGCTGTCCCTCTCTCTCAGAGATTTCATATGTTCTAAGAGAGCAAGTAAATTAGGGGACATTGAGGACGTACCACTCAATATCACTTCCACAACACTCTACGAGTACTACCAGCACGCTTTCAACACGCATATAGCCGACGAGGCAGCAGAGAAGATTGGAACATTACAGAAGCAAGCTAATAGTGCGTTGGAAAAGATCCGAGTTATAGATGGAATTATCAGGGATCAAGGAACGAGAGACGGCCCCAATCGCATACGAATGGGAAAGAAACATGTAATCGACATAAAGGCGAAGATGAAAGAGTTAAACGGCGAGTCCGCCAACATCACTAGTTTGATGAAGGATATAGAAGAAACGATGGACAAGGCAGGGGATCAGGCAGAAGTGATGGAGGAAGTAGAAGAGGATAGACTCAAGGCAGCGAGCAAGGTGGCCGAAGTAGAAACGGGGCTTGGCAGGTTGACGGCTGAAGAAGGGAACTTGGGTTGATATATCGATATGGTCCCGAGTGTGTTGAACATTCTAATCTTGATCTAGAAGGTACCTAGGGTTGACTAACTAGAAGTAATTGAGTATATATGTATGTCATCCTTTTAGTTACCCATTGAATGGTTTTATTACCTAGCTCTTGATATGGAGATGCATCTACCCTAGAAAACTCTCTTTCCAATTCTGAAACATCGCGAAAACATAGGGATTTTAGCATCCATTTTGGCCGAGCGATTATCCAGCTTATCCAGATACCTGTAGTTTTGTTCAGCAATTCCAAAAGTTCTAGCTGGCCCTGGGCTAGTGGCATGTCTAGCTTTAGAAAATGGGCGAGGTTCGTGGAGAAGACCAACTTCTTTACGAAGATATGCCCGAGATAATAAATAAAAGAGGCAGACAAGGACAGGTCGGAAAGACCTAGACCCCGCAACAGCGTGGATGGGCACATGAGCGGCACTGAAATGTAATATATAATAATGTAGAACCCTCCACAACCCTGCGGTGTATGGCTCTAGGAGGCGTGGTTTGCTCTAAATAGGGACGGTCCCCACGTTAAAAATCATCATCATCTAGCTTTAGAAAGGTGAGGGTCTTTTTGCTAGAGGTATTCTGCACTACATTCCTACTAATTATAATATAGTGAAATTAGTTAGACGATGTTTAGGGGTTGTTATGGTTCTGGAGTTGGGAGGCGTTTCGGAATGGCCGAATTGTAAACTCATGTATCAATGATATATCTAAGTACGCGTTAATCATAATCACTCTATCGTATGTATGGTGGTGCCATATAGATTCAAGCGGGACAGCCACACTAGCCCTGCAAGTCTACACGAGGCCTAGCCTATGACTCTTGAGAAGAGCAACCATCTTTAATGGCGTTCATCCGTACAAATGTAGCTCTGAAATGCTCAGAATACGCGACCCTCCCCCTTCGCCCTCAAACCACAGTCTTCTCGAAGCATCCCCATTCCAATTCGCTCATATGCGTCCTGAGACTCCTTGAGTCCAACAAACTGGCTAAGACCGAGGTCTAGCTCGAAAGTTTGAGGGGTGGCATTACCCTTCACAGGCCGAGCTGAGAGCAGACCTGAGCCTTCTTTTCAGTGGTGGCGACTCAAGATGTCCGTCGGAATCCTCGGAATCCTCGTCATCAGAGGTCTCGGTATATCCAATCAATGACATCTATGATCAGGAAGTTAGTATGCAGTATTCTTAAAGTAGGATAGAGTTTACATTTGGCTGTGGTACTGGGTTCCCATAGAAAGACCAATTCGCGGGATCCGCTGTTTCCTGGTCTTGTACCTCTTCTCTAACCTGCTCCCTTCGGCTGCGTTTGTTCGCTTTAGATACCCGTGAGATTGACGGTCGTCTTTTGGAGCCACGTCTTGCTCTCTTCACCAACGTTTCCTCGCAGAACTCCCAATCCCAGTCTAATTTGTGATTGTTTCCGGCAAGTATGTGTGCAAACCAGAGAGCCAAGTTCACAGTCCACTGTCTATATTCGTCATGATTGCTGTCACATCCGTTCTCCCAGGGTATTGAGACGAACTCCATTAGCCCATCCATTTTCATCCCTTCAACAAGAGCGATGTCGTCTTTAGCCGGTACTAAAACGCGTCAGAGATATCAAGCCCCATTCATAGCATAAGTTAGGCTTTGATTACCTGGAATGGTACCCCGCGGTTTGATTCGGAAAATAAAGGCCTCTTCCGTAGTCAGGATGCAACCGTATCGGCATCGGTAGTTTAAGCAATAATATGTATATGCTTGTCGAATCGGCGCATTATCTTTTTCGTCTCCTGCTGTACCAATCCACTCGCCCGTTTTTTCGTCAGTATACAGCCCATCACGCAGCTTCTGGCTATTCCAATTGAAGGCTGTTTTGACTTCTTTAGGAAACAACTCCTTAAATACACCCTTCTTTTGCCTAATTTCTTCTTCTTCTAGTGAGACTGCTCCTCCATCAGGTTGCTTTTGTCTTTTCCTTCTCGCTTTTTGGTTCTGTACAATGGCGGTCTGAGGCCCACCGTTTCCGAGTGCTGTCGTATCGTGAGCCTTCTTGTTGTCTTTTTCACACCCAGTGTCAGGTTTAGTTAACGGCGCCTCTTGTTTAGAGAGATCTACTCCAAAATCCGATACCCAGATGCACGGCTGGAAGTCTTCGACAGCTCTCAAGGCTGCAACAACAATGGGGTTGTTCCATTTGTTCAAAATGACCACTGTGCTAGGATGGCCCTTAGTTAGCGAGGTAACGGATTGATCTAGGTGTGGATAGTGAGGGAGCCTGTCGCGCGGCTGTCTTTTCCGAGCTTCCCTTATCAAATCGCCTCCGAAAATAGTTTCCAGGGTTGCATAGCTGAATTCATTCCATGGTCTCAACGCTACTGGTTTATGATAAGAGGGATGATTTGTGTTGGCCGTCTTTGGACTTTTTACTGGTGTTATAATTGGATTTTTCGAAGTCAGATACTCAAGGACCGATTGTGCTCTTCTCCGCTTGGGAGCCATCGTCACAGCGAGGAGAATCGAACAGAATGGTGTGCGATGGGTCGTTTTCCTCCGGTTCCATGCGACTTGGTATTATTATAATCATATTTGTAATCAGGCATACTCCGATGGTTCGCAACATCTTGATGCTTCAAGATCCCTAACGCCCGTAGTATCTCAGTGACCGCGCTCATTGGCCAGTGCAACGCTACGGCCTTTCCGTCAAGCAAGCCTCGAGTCAATCTTAACGGTGGTTTCGGTCGTCCTACATAATCTCCGCGTAGCCAACTGGTCGAAGCCCCTCTCTCTAACTCCAATTTCACCATCCACGACATAATTACAATGCTTTTCGCTATGCATATGTAGAGCGGTTATGAGACAAATTTTCAGAGGTAAAGTACATTCGCGAGGCGTACAATCTCCTTTCCAACATAGGTACAGCTCCACAGGGGCGCATCGCCTACCGGCCGCACCCGCACACCCGATTTTATCAGCTGAAACGCCTTCCTTGCTTCCCTTGTTTGCTTCTTCATTTCCAATATCCCTATATCGACTGTGCCAATGAGTCATATTCAAACTTTTTCCAATTGATGTCCACACTAATGTTTACTCACGTTACGCCTGTTGATTATGTCGAATAATAGAAAGAATTCTAGCACGGGGAAACTTCCTCCAGGTGATGGGCCAAGTCTACGCGAATTCAAATACGCAGGGGCGCCGATTGAATGGATTGAAAGAATTGATGATGACGGCCGTGAGGATAACCAAGCATTCGTCTACCGAGTGAAGATCGCATCTCAGGAATATGCCCTTAAGGTTGTGAGTAAGAAAAGGCTGATGTTGTTAAAGCTTTTTATTGATTTAGACCTCCCAGTTCAAATTTTCGAATCCCAAATCCAACACGTTCTACTGGGGTACAAGACTGCAGTATGAGTTACCTATGAAAGAGGCTATATTCTACACTGATCCTTTCTACGCCGAATGTCGAGCGTATGGGAGAATCGAGGATGGGAAGGTTGATAAGAATTCTAAGACACCCCGTGTCCGGCAACAAACGGCAGTAAAATGTTATGGATATATGTTCCTGAGCGACGAAGACAAGCGCTGGTTTATTAACAAAGGTCATGATCTGGAGGACGACCTCCTCGATAACGATGTGATTGAAGCCTTAGAAGGAGACACACGAGTTCGAGCTATTGTGAAACATCTCGATGAAAGCCCCAAATTACTTCATGCAAGAAACATTGGGAAAGCTTGGACAACCGTCCGTTTACTCAACAAATCTCTTAAAATCTATAACATGGATATTAAGGCAAACAACTTCATCGGTCATCGACTTGTGGATTTTGGGTCATCTTGGACTGAACCTCATGAGCTATTACGATATTTGGATAAGAAAGGCAAGATTATTGCCGGTCACAAGAGGGGAACAGATGCACAGGATTTTGACGATATGATCGAAGAAGAGCATATACCGACCCGACTGAGAGTCGTACCGAAGACTAGGCACCAATTGCGTTCAAGGGGTGACGGGCCTTGGGCAGGCGAACAATTGCCGAAGCGCAGGAGAAGGAATAAACCCGAGACGTGAATTGAATCTGATCTCTACTCTCACATGTCTGAAGCAAGTTTGTGCTTTTTGTCCTATATTTATGTATATGGATACTACCGGACCTGCCTAGAATTGACGGTGATGTTTAATAGACTGTTACGGCTGGTATCGACCTCTTACATGACTAAGCTGCCCCTAAATGAGGAAAGAATCTGCATAGCGCAATATATATATATATATATGAAAGGATACTGTTTCAATGCCATCGCACCGGTGGTTTATACCACTAAACCACTGATGCTACTTAGTAGAAACCTATGAAATTCCAAATTATATACATGATACCATTTAAACCAGGTCAAGAAGTAACTCATATTAACTTAACCTGCGATGTAAGGTACCTACATTAAGCTACATCTTATGGACTGTAGGACTTTCATTAACTTTCATTAAGTGGTTATAATCGGCCTGGCCATAGCTGATTAACGTGGAGCGTCAGTAAGCAAACAAGATAACACCCCCCACCATCCAATTCTGTCTTGGAACCCCTATTCTGACGAATTGAGACCACAGGGAGGACGCCCACAATCCTGTTTGTTACCCCTACTTAGGTAAGGATTGCCACGTGCTACCTACCACCTCTCCCTGCAATCACGCCAGCTCCCTGCCCCATCCCATCCCGAATGTTTGTTTACCAGCCACTTGGCGGCCAGTGCCCCGTTCTTCTCTACCAGCAACTTGGGCCTACTAACTAAAAGTTACAGCATCTATCTCCAGTAATCGAATATGCACACAAGGGGTCATTGAATGGCTTGCCTGTTATGGCGTGAATGAATGGATGAGATCCCCCATTCTACCTGGTTTCCCGCAGATATTCCAGAACTGTATAAGGTCCCTAGTTTTATTTATCGTGCCTCCTACGTAGCAAACAACACCATTGCCATCCCTAAGTAAGGCAGGAAAACCATGAACAGTGCATTTGACCCCGCACTATAAGTAGCTCGATGCTACAAGACGGCGTCCCGAGTCACTCGTAATCTCATTTTCTTCTCAGTGAAGCGAACAGACAACATACCTACTTAAACCCTCGGTGCACTTTCTTCTCACCTCTCGAAGCTCACCTACAAATATATCTCGACAATTGCAATTTGAAGTGGTTATGTCCTTGCTGAAACCAAGGCAAACTCCTGAACGGCAGTCCCAACCCTTTGATCATGATGAGCTTTCAAGCCCAAACAGCAACCGGACTGTAGCAGTCCGCCCATCACCTATCAAGCCCTTGAAGTCACTAGGGCGTATTCTCTTTGGTCCTTTCCTAGTATCGCCCTCCCCTAGCGATACAACCAAATCCGATAAAGAGGAAGAAGACGAGACTCAGAGTATTAGTTCCTCGATCAGTGGTCCTATGAATCATACGAAACAATCTCGCCGTAAGACCATTTTGGCGTCCTTCAAGAATAGCCGCGAGCGGCAAAGCGCGCGGGTTAACCGCGTCGACCGTCTCATCAGGTTCATCGAGGAAATCCAAAATGAAGCATACGTAGGGGAAAAAGAGGTGATACCGAGGCAGTTGTTTCCAAAAGACTATATCGAACTTCTCATTGAAGTCGATGAGCGCGATCAAGAATTCCAGCATTATTTCCATCACGGGCTTCGGTAAGTTTGACAGTACAGCCCCCAGTAACTTGAGTCTCACGATGTTCTAGATACGAGTATAGGGAATCTATCCACGGGAAAGAACAGTTCACCATTCTGATGCCTTCGGCATTCCATATTAGCATGCAGACGGATATCGATGGCAGATTATTGCTTTGGAAAAATGATATAATAGGTAATAAAAACTATGGTATCAAATCCAAAACAGCCGCGGGAAAAATACGGTCTAAGCGGGATCAGAAGATGGAATTCGAGTCGAAGAAAACCCTACGTGGAGATTGTTCTTTTAGCTACCGGGAGGACCATTACACATATCCACCGTTGATATTTGAGGTAGCATGGTCTCAGACTACAGATAAGTTAGAAAAAAAGGCAATGGAACTTATTGAGGAAGGTGCAGGTCAAATTCGTACTATAGTTGGCCTGGATTTCTCGAAGACATATAGCATTTGGGACACAATTCGTGACCAAATCCAAAACCCACTGGAACCAAAACGCGGTCCTTTTACGGCTTTTGTCTGGCGTGTTGTTTTCGACAAAGACGGCAAACAGGTTACCAACGCAAGTGGTGAACCCAGAGTACGGAAAAATAATCACATCTTCTGTGATGACAATGGGACAGCACATTTGGCTGAAAAGCTGCAGTTGAGTTTAAGGGATTTTGTACCCCCACGAGTTATCAAAGCAGAACGGTGGGATGAAGTCAAAGACTTACATGATGTAAAGTTGGAACTCGATGCGTCAACATTATTAGGATATTTTGACGATGCACTCATTGATCAGAAACATGAAGACGAGAATAGCGAATCGAAGAAGGAGAGAAACAGACAGGAGATGACGAAACGGACAAGAGACCGAGCCGCAAGGAGGAAGGCGGATGCAGAAAAGGAGGAAAAACGATGGACCATCACAAGTATGATTGAAGTGGGTGGACACCGCCTAAGAAAATTACAGGGCAGAACTTGAAGGCGGAACATTGGGGGCGAGGGCACCGTTAATCGGTACAATTCAAGTCTAGTTCAAAGTAGTCTCTCATTAAGCAAAAATTTCAATGGAATCCAGCATGTTGTTTGATATAGCCAAGATATATCCATTTCATAAGTTGGCTTAGTACATTGCGTTAAGAGGAAGAAAAATTGGTCCCTATATAGGTCTCACACTTCGGTGGGCACTCACTAATAGGTCTGAATGGCTTCGAATTAGTTGATAGTCTTGTTGATGTGGGCCGTCAATGGCATCATGATACTGTCAGATTTGAGTCAATTACATTAAGTCTGGTCGGAATTCTCTGTCTATTTCTTCTGTCGAGAACCTCTATCTTCTGGCTCCCTCTTTTAATCCGTAGGTGGTAGGGCTCATCGTCGTACCACTATGATAGATTATGATAGCGTAACTCTACGGAGGTAATCGTTATATCCGACACCTTCATTGTGCCATATTTGGGTAGCACCGGTCGGTACCTTGGTACATTGGAAAACTGAGGCGTTCGCAAGCAAAGTAACTGGATATGGCCGGCTCTGTGGCTAGGACCCGTGGCAGGCCCCACTAGGTAGTCGATTTGATAATCTTGTTTGCTTAGATATCTTTGATTTATTTCTCTACGTCTTGTCTTTTTCTCCTCGCTGCCAGTTTATGTCCGCCCCATTAAAATTATCTCCGCTGAACCAGATACTTGGCGGTCTCCTCTAGACTGTATCTCTTCTGCTCTTAACCCTTACATCTCACTATATCGACATGTCTAACAAACATCTGCCACTGAAGCCAAGATGTGGTGCTTGTGCGGATACTATCCTAAGACACGAGAGGGTTGTCGCATGTACTAACTCGTCTTCCGATGGGAGTAACCTCTTTATGCTAATCAAACGGTATAGTATCTGGTAACGATGACTCTACTGTGTGCACAGGGTGCACTCAGCCCTTTGCTTTCCCGCTTCCAAGCATGGTGCCGATATGGGTTGATGGGCGTATCCTATGTCGTCGTCATAAATGCAACCAGTGCGTCGGAGCTCCCGAGTTCGTTCCTATACATTATGATTGCTATCAAATTTTCAGAGTGAACGTGAACCTAGACGAATCTGAAGCCCTAAACCTCCTGTGGACGATAGGTTCATGGAGGAACCCCTGGCCAAGAGCGCAACCTATCTACCTCAGCCATGCTATTGATCAGGTTGGGCTCGAGAGAATATCAGAAATATCCGGGCTTTCCGATCTACGCAAACTTCCACCAGAGCTCGTGGGCATGATTCGCGATTTGTCACCTCACCAATTGTTCTGGCGATCTATCTTCGTTATAAGTCTTTCATTCAAGATACCACAGTCGCGACCGCTTTCAAGGAGCCTGCTTAACGAAATTTTGTCATGGGAACGAGGAGCACCCCCTGTGTTTACTTCGTCCGCTCCAGCGCCACCTCTGATTAGACTTACTATTGATGCCCATGGGATCAATAAAATAGAACGCCTACACGAGTGGCCGGTATTTAACAGCCGTACTACGAATCAATCGGCATTCATCGTCGAACATATAAGAAATGTGTCTAGAATACATGTGGAATTCAAGGTATGTGTTTCGCTTTAACCCCTAGTCTTACATTTCTAATACCCATAAGGGTGATTTTTCACACCTGTGTCTGTCCGAAAACCAACCGAGTCTGTGTATTTGGAATACATGCAGTCCTCCTAGGCTTTCTTCTTGCAGTTTCCTTAACCCTGCGGCTTTAAAGTCACACATCTCTTCGCGGCTTTATGTTAGGGACTTAGGCCGCTCTCGTGGGATTACCTTTTTCTTTGCTTCTGGTCAGCTCTTCGGCATCCATATTCATCTATCCGAAAATTCATGCGCGATGGATACCTACAACCGGATTTCCATCCATCGTCGGCAAAGAATAGTTTGGGTCTACGTGCCCATATCACCACTCGATAGACCTCTCGGTCTTGGATCTCGCAAAACCAACTTCGGTTTCAAAATCCTGGTAAGTGGCAAATTCTATTATAAACTAGCAATTACCTGATTGATAAGGTTAGATTCAAATGTCTCTTGCCGGCGAAATTATCCTTGGCCGTTCCGAGAACCGGACTGAAAAGCATGTTCTCCTTGGGTCTGGAACACCTATGACATTAATCTATGGAGAACCCCAGGAACTGCAGCCGATTTCCATATTTGGAGCATATCCATCACCCGGTAGCAATATCCCATTATTTGAGGCGCAAGAGTTTGAGCCCGATATACCGGGGGCATATTTCTCATGGGCACCCCTTAGCCATATCCAATCAGTCAACACATTCTATGACGGGGACACTAGACTTTGCAAAGGTATTATTTTTCATTATAGAAATGGAGGCTCACGTGCTCTTGGCCAGTGTCGTCTAAACGTTGATCAGAGTATTATGGTGATAGAACCATGTGTACTCTGTTTTCAGAGTACATCGTATTCGACCTCTGCAGGAAGACTACAGCGTCATGGGGTACGGGTCGAGGTGACAGGGGATGATGCCCATGAGCATAGCGATAGTGGATGGAAGTGTCTACCCCTTAGAAACGGCGTGCTAACCTTCTCCTTCACCGAGGATTCATCTTATATGTCTCTAAGAGAGGAGCCACGGATAACAACGTGATTATGCTATTGAGAAGTAAAACGCGGTTTCTTCATATACTAGTTAGGTATTTGGGTACAGTTAATCTTCCTGGATTGAGAAAACGGTAGTATTGTTATGTACTAGTCAACATTCTTAGGAAAGAAACTTGTATAATAGTTTGCCCCCTTAAACATGTAAACCTAAGCTGCCTTTCCTTTATACCTGCTACTAATATTCCTTGCTTGTCAGTCAACTTCCCATAACATGTGTTATATCACGCCCTGTTATGTATGTGTGGGTGGGGAGAAGGAGAGAGATCAACCTTTTTTAGTCATGGAAGAGTCTTCGGGTGGAATACAAACGCCAGTTGTTGATGTCTCAAGTTGCTGGGCCGGCTTCATTTCAAACTCGTAAGACACAGTACCATCAGAGGGTTGAAACCATTCAAGACAAATGCTCATGTACCGAGCGAGGGTCGGACCCTGCATCATGAATGCTGGGAGTCCCTCAACTTGACCTCGTCATCAGGCCAATCATTAGGTAAAGTTGCATTTGTAGGCCTCGGAGATGATTCGTGGAGGAGATGTACCGGTGGAATCGGATTCGCCTTAATATACTCCAGGCGCTCAAGTAGGTCGGTGCCTTGTCTGGAGATCTCGATATATTCGGATAGTTCCCCATTGCCGTGCGTGTCGGGAAAGAAAGGGGTCAAGAACGGTTGATCCCAATCGAATATCCACAACCTCGCCTGACTGCCGACACATGTCATTGCCCAAATAGGATTCACCGAGTTCATTTCAACCGCATACGCGCAGGCAGCAGTATACGCTTGCATCTCGACCAAGGCTACATCCGAAGGCGATGGATGACCTCGCTTCGCCTCCATAAAGAGTAGCGTTAACGTGATACCCGAAGTCACCCGTTTGACAACGAGGTCAACGCGTCGCAGATCCCCGTCTTGGCGGGTTGGTGGCTGCTGGGAAGATACGATCCACGGATGATTGTTGAATACGATACGGTTGAAGATATGTTCCCATAGTTGGGTTGTTGCCCATTCCGGCTGCTGCTGTGCTTCGTTCCAGAGGGCTGTCAGAGTTTCAGTGTTGATGATAGACATGGCTAGGGAGGTCCAAGGATCAGATTCAAGTATGCTAAACAACAAAGAGGTAAAGCGATATTAGATAGCTCGTTTCTCCAACCTACTACCTATCCTTATGGTGGTCCTTTCCCTTACCTTATAATCATTTTGCCATGTCCTTTATTCGATGTGTCTCGAACATAACGATAGGTATTGTGGTGGATAACGGACCAGTCGGGAACCTGCGGCAAACGAGTGGCCGCATTTACAGTTACATCCTATGAATCACCTGCGTGTTCTATTATTATTACTCTCAGGGCAATGCCGTCTTCGTTAGGCATGAAAGCATATAGGCATTGAGTTCTACTCGTGTCGCTTGCAGTAACCTGACCGGGAATCTCGGGGTTCGATGCGACCTTGCTCTGCCACGGCGCGGCTCTTCGGCCGCGGCTATCGCCTCGATCAACTAGGAGAACCACCAAGAGTAGCACTCTCGGTAGCCCTACAGAACCCTAGCGCGACTTAGGCACCGACTGACACACCTGTTGGGCGTGAACCTAGGATGATACCGGAACCAAAGGACGGCAATTTCCATTCCAACTACCTACCAATGGACCATTGTGCGGGTAGGGGATACTCAACGTCATCTATCTATGCGGAATGTTAATTAGATCTGCCCCATCGTGGGGGCGCCCAATGTAATGTATAATAATATAGAATCCTCCATAACCCTGCGATGTATGGCTCTGGGAGGCGTGGTTAACCCTAACTAGGGACAGCACCCACGTTAATGTTAACTAATAATAATAATAATCTCGATATCCATGCGCCAAAATAAAGGAATCACGATGCGGGGACAGCGACATTGGTTACACTTAAGAAAGGGGTGATTGATGAAGGGAAATTTTCTCAATATTACAGAAAGAAATTTCGCATCGTACTACCAGCCCCTAATCCCTTAGGTTAACAAGCTGCGAAGGGTAGTGTTTCCTAATAGCAGAAGGTGGCAACAAGAAGATGACAAGCTGTATTCACAGATGACACAAATCCTTCGCGACGGCCGGAATGATCCACTAGTACATGTATAAAGTTATAAAAATAATTATAACTATAAACAAAGTACGAATTTTCACAAAACAGTGCCAACACAACCCTTCCCGTGGCCGTAACGGCCTCTAATGATAGGATTCGCCCCCCTTAGGGTGAGGAAGAATTAGTGCCTCTTCCACACCCGCTCTGACAAGGTCTGCGAGAGCTGCAGAGAAGCTCTCATCTCGAACCGAATGCAGCATTGCCCGTCACTGGTCCATATTTACCAACTACGCCAACGCTATTACTGTATAATCGGACGTCGCTTAACACAAACTACCCTCCTAGATACCACCCCCCCAAAAAGCTGCCTCAAAACACAAGATTAAAGAATTGAAGCAAACTACACTAAATACCATTATTTAATAATCTTTTAACTCCTTATCTTTAAAGTTAAGATTATGGATTATAATATATTCCTTTACTTCGTCATTACTTTTAACTAATATTTATTATATTATAAATAAGTATAATAAGGGTAGATTAAATTAGGCTTGGAATTGAGGCTTTTAATTATAATGATTAACTAGGGCTGCATTAGTCCTTAACCAACCAACTCCTTCTCGGCTGTTGGTAGCTTGAAAAGACTCTATATATAAATGATCTGCCAGCCTAAACCGCCTGGGTCTCTAGGGTCTGTTTCAAGAAGCGAAGTCTGTATAACCTCACTTTCCAATATTGCCCAATATTGCCTGCATGTCTTAAAAGGTCATGAATAGCCTATAATGGTCCTTCGTACGGCCGAAGTGCAAGGCGAACTGCACGCTTCAACCAATATAGAGGTTACACGTATAACAAACTATTATTAGCTTTATATATAATATAGATTAAATTAATGTATAGCTATATATAACATTTAATTAATAACTTATAAAGGTTCCTTTTTGGACTAAGGTAGGAATAGCCTCATTTATCCGTATCTATTATAGGACTCTAGCATTAGTTATGCTGCCTGCGATCGCGGACCTCTGCTTAGCCTATTTGCTAACGCCCTACGTTGGAGCAGCCGGCAACTTAGGTCCCATTGTGGGAGCACCAGCTATGGTCGGGCTAATTGTGACCGCTTAATAAAAAGCCCTAAAGTTTACATAATATAGCGCAATGTACTTCGCATCGTAGGCTAAGTTAATAGGAGTTACTTCTAAACCCGGACTCAGCGCCATTATAGTTTTAGATTTCGCTCCCACCGATCATTCCGAGCGGGCATCAGTGGTTTAGTGGTAAAATCCATCGTTGCCATCGATGGGCCCCGTGTTCGATTCACGGCTGATGCATTTCTTTTGATTCTTTTGGGCCTTCTCTTATTATTCTTTTTTGCCTCAATCTGCAGATCACAACTCTTTAGCTAACATGTGTTCTGCTCTGCTTCACACTGTCGACCATTCTAACCAAGCTCAAGCCAGGACAGCTACGCGTCTTGAATGCGGCCAGATCTCAAGCATCGACAAACAACTGGTAGGGGATGAGACACCACGCGAACAGCTGCCCGTATTCGCTATTCGTAACAAAGTTATAGGGAGCAATACCCAGTACCTAGCTTGTTGAATGTATGTACTCTATCTACACCCAATACTCCCACGTCGGAACCCTCGAAGTCTCGTTATGACCACTGCTGTCCAACTGTAGCACATCCGACTCGCTTGGACATCATTGAGAGACATTTACCAGTACCTCATCTGTATCCCGAGGGCAGAGTTCGATGATAAAGCTAATAATATCACAAACCACTCACAATCTTCTCGATGCGCTCTACCAATCTCCGTGTGAGCTGTCGAGCAGGTGTATAGCAAGCTGGCTTGAGCAAGGTACTAAGCGTCGTATGGCCAAAGTCGCAACACTCAAGTAATCAATAAGCCACGAGCCGTACCCCAAGCTGAATGAACACCCTCGTTCGTACGCCCTTGTATATGTGTATCCTGCAGAGTTCGGCGAGATACCCTTTCGTAATGAGCAGTGACGATAATCAGCCCTCGGCTTGAGTAAGCCATATTGGCGGATCTTCGGGGTTAGGATGCTCGGTTCAAATTGTATACAGAGTCAAAGCCAGCGGCTAGTGCCAGGAACGGACCCGAATAGACCTTGGTAGCCATAAGAGCCTGTTAGATCACCAAGCGCTTCAATCCAAGCTCTGTCACGAGCTCTTGTTATACTCCTTCACGCTCACGATATGGTTTATCGTTGAGCGACCTAAATCGGTAGGTAGCAACGTCAAATATGACTATTGCTTAAGATGGAAGGGAGTAGTGACACAAGATAGACTCGTGAATACATTGAAGCCGTGCCTGTCTTATAATATTTTCAGACATTTAGCCATTCTTGGCCTTCATCACACGTAGGTGCACATGGAAATGAGAATAAAGTTACCGCCATTGCTTGTAATAGATGTCACTGTCTCGCCTTCATCTGTATTCGGCCAAGGTGACAAGAGTATGTATCGATTTTACCAAGGTGATGATGTACCAAGCGTAGACCGAATTCATCCCAGCTATTCCGTGGAGAGCAGCACAGCAAAAAACTCTCCTCGACAGTGCCTACAGCCCAAGTAGACCTAAACACGACCGATGCTTCCAGTGACATGTTTCTTATAACCCAATCAGATATTTGCCCTTGAAATATAAACATAGCCGTTTTTGTAGTTATCCCCTAGATAGCACCAGCCGTCAGGCGAGAACGAAACGCGGTGAATGAAACCTATCAATGTGTCTCTACAACTTCTGCGGGCGCATGCCGGCATCGATAGCGTTGAGGTGAACCATTTTGGCATAGGACACAAAGGCAATATTTTTACTGTCTGGTGAAAAAGTGAACGAGGCTACTGGGTCATCATGGTGCCAGAATCAAGCGGTTCTTGGTCACGATCGACCAAACCCGGACCATCATGTTGTTTGAGAACGACGTAGCAATCCCACCACCAGGTGAAAACAAGACCGAGCATGTATGGGTTTCGCTCCAATGTACATTATCATAGTTAATCTTAGCTCTTTCATGTCCACCAACGGGAGAAGAGACTCTTGTTGTATTAGATCTTGTATAACTAGGCTTGTACTGCCTGAATACAACTACCAGTGGTGGAGGGTTAGGGTACCACTATCTTCTTCACTTCAATGAAATGCGGAGCCCCGGCGAATAACGGAGATAATTTTGATATGATTCCATAACTAAGTCCCTCGAGTCAGAAGTTGGATATTGTGACCTAGAGCTCGATAGAATTTTACCTGTTTCAAGTGCCATTACAACTTCAGCTAAATTGATGTCTCTAGTGTGATTTTGGTGATAGACTATTTGCCATCCCCAATGGCCAAAGAGGTCCTCTAGGAAGTGATAATCTTCGTCGTCGAGGACAGTTCTATCTCCCAATTCCTGAGCGTGGTAAACCCAGTGAGGCCATACATACTGTACTTCTAGTGTTGGTGTATCAGGTCTTTCCAGAGGATCATACGCCTTAAGAGGATATCGTAGCGAACGTACGTTCAAATTCCCTAGATTGAATGTTTTGTTCATGATATGTAAATAACATTTGAGTAAGTATCTGTGAGTCGTGCTCTTGTCTACCCAGAAGCGGTGCTTGTTGCGATTTAACGGGTCAATAAGGAACTCTCGAAATGACAGGTGTAACAACCGCACCGGGGACTGCGGTGACGGAGGGATGTTCAGAACTGAGTGAAGGGAGTCGAGTAGGGTATCAATTGTGTCCTCTGAGATATCGAGTAAGTTTGCTAAGGCAACTGTAGGAAGGGGTTGCTCTAGAAGGACGATGGAGCCGACGACACGTCGGAACAGATCAAAAGTCTTTTCTTCCTCGTCGTTAGACATACCAGAGAGTAATTGTTCCAAGACTAGCAAATACATATCGTCAAGCTTTGATTTTCGATTTTCTGACTTGTTCTCTAGTAGCTTTTGAAGCTTCATACCAGGTGCACCAGTTTTACGCTCGGCGATAAACCGGCATGCAGTAGAAGCGGATATGAAAAGAGGAGTAGCCATTTCCGCAAGGATTTGGATTTGCGAGTGTGTACCCCAAGATGATGGCAATCTGCGGTGGTTGGGCACGGATGTGTTGTACTCTGCTTTGATCTTCCCGAGTTCGTGCTCAAAGTAGACATGTATATCGTCCTTAATAAGGCATTCGTCTATTTCGTGAAGAAGTAAATCTTGATATGTGTCTTGAACACTGGCGAAACCTAGACGAATAGGTAAGTCTGGCCGACTGGTCAAAAAAGTCCGCAAGAGGAGAGGCTTCCCGGAATTGGCATTGGAGAATAGTTGGATAATCTTCTTAGTATCTTCATCCCCGTCGCACTCGTCTAAGGCATCGATAACGATGACAACTGCACCATTGTTCTCGCGACATGAGTGCGTTTTTGACAGAGGCTCCAAAATCAAATTGTTGAACTGTTCCTGTAAAGCCTTGCCAAAAATAGTAGGATCTCTATCAATGACATCTTTGACATGTCGTGTAAGTGCTGGTTCTCGTTGAACTAACTGAGCCGTGATCGTGGCAAAGAATTTTGATACCCCTCCTCGATCCCCCTCTCCCCTCTTAAAGAAGAAGCTAGCGCCAAGCTGAGCACGCTTTGAGAAGGAACGCGCCAAGGTACGCGATATTGTTGACTTGCCTGTACCAGCCATCCCATTTAACCAGAACATAGCTTTAGCATTAGGATCCTCTGCCCATTTCGTTATCTCGTGGAGGGCTCCCATACGTGTGCCGGGGAGACAGGTCGGATTGTATTCCTCAGCATGGGAATCAAAGGACGCACCCATAGCTATAGGGATTCTGCTGAGCAATGATACCTGTTCTGATATTGCCCTACTTATGGCTGATTGTTGGTCGATCTCAATTCGTAGGCGGTTAAACGCTTTCTCTTCCCCTTCGCCGTATATAAGGGGCATGTGAACGTTGAAGATCCCCCAAAGCGAGTAGGCTTTATCTTCTGCTTTCTTGGTCTTGCGGCCATTCGACCATGACATACGCTCATCAATGCTGAAGTTGGACAGTGAACTTCCTCGCAAAGCATTGATGGAAACCCCAGTGATCTCGTGGATTAGCTGTTCTAATGATGTCTTGTCACCGAGTCGCTGGCCGTTCTGTGCAAAGAACTCAACACATGATGGTGCGATAAGTTCTTGAAGGGTCCAGCCCCGGGTAAACCACCTACTCTCGCGAAACTTCTTTTTCCATGATGCTCGTAGTGGGTCTTTGACATTCTCAGTATCACTTTTCAAGACATCCGACAGATACACGTAACATCGTGTTGCATTTTTGTACCATTGAAACATGGAATTGATGGCCTCAGAGAACTCCGTATTGTTGGACTTGTCGATACAAAATCTCTCGACACTGGCGACAACATGGGAGCGATTAGCGCCATCACGCGACCTGTAATTTTTCCCGTTTTCCGCTGAAACTCCAATTCGGTAATATTCAGTACTGCTGTACTTTCCAACCACTTGTTCCACGAGTTTCTGCGTGATCCTTGTGAGCGGGCCACTTCATGCGGTCTGCGCCTGCTCAAGGGCCTGAAAATGGGACCCCCTCGGATCCCGTCCCAAGGGCTCAGTCGGAGGGTGGAAAACATATCCCAGTCGGTGGCATTGTCGTGTCTGAAGACGTTTTTATCCCTCCGTTGACCGTGTGCCGCTGCTTTCTTTCTCCTTCCAATCTTTTGTGAACCTCGTCTTCGTTCCTCTTCCAAACGAGCCATGGACGACTACCTCGAGAACCTCGTCTCAGTAGAACGGCTTTCGAATGCCAGACGTCCTCAAGCGCAGCCTGTTGACCAGCTCCTCGAAGACAGCCTTGCCAAAGTTCAAAAATACCTGGCCACTCCGGTCGAAGAAGATGTTCTGGTCGAAGACGCGAGCAAAGCCCACCGGCAGTGGCTTATGAGAACCTGGAACGAGTAAGTGAAGCTGTATTCGGAGGCTTGTAGGAGGTACCAAAGCTGATCATAAATGCCAGATACTTCAATAAACGAAAGGTCAATCCCGACACGATCTGGTGCGGGCTCTGTCTTGGGGATCCTCTCGCAACCGCGTGGAGCAAGGCTTTCTTGTCGGATCGTGTCGAGAACTCCGTAAGGAGAGTCATGGTTATTGGATCAGAAGAGTACGAAGAGAGACGGATGCTCAATAGTGCGAGTTCAGTGCTCGCGGCATGGCGTGCTTTGATCAAAGAAGCTAACCTCACGGTCTTGCACGAGAAGAGACTGCGAGAGTCTAACCCAGGAGACAAATGGCGGCTCCGTTTCCACAACTACAACGCCAAACCACCCTCCTCATCGATCGGTGTTTTTGAGATATCGAAAGTAAGTGTTCAGGCTTGATTAGAGCGGAGCTTTCTCGTTGCCTAACCTTACGAAAGTGGGTCTGGTCCGATCTGGCAGCGGAGCACGGACTCTCGAAGGAGATCACGTTCGAAAAGCTCGAAGCCACCGCTGAAGACGTCATTATTATTCTTCGTACTCTTTGGGAACGTGCAGCTGAGCTAGGAATCGATGTGCAGACGCGCATCGCATTCCATGCCAATGTCCTCCTTTCGGCGATGGGCGGGTTCCGGCCCGGCACGCTCGGAAAAGTCCGCTATAGGGACGTCCTCGTGTCTGTTTTACGAGATCCGATGGACAACACCAAGTTGAAGCACACAGCGACTGTCACCATACCCAGAAACAAGCTCAAGAATTCATTACGCGTCAAAAACAAATCGTAAGTCAAGAATAACTCCACTGCTAGTGTGAAAGCAGAAGGACAAGCTCACATATTTTTGGTGCAGGATCAAATTTTCTGCCTTTTTTGTACCATTTCCTCCGGTATGTCTTAGCCGTCTCATCGTTGCACGAGCCATACAAGATGGCGCGTTCGATGCAGGTTACGCAAATGCAGAGGAATTCTTGAACAGGCCGGTGCTCGGAAATGTTGACTACATTCCGTTGCCATGGAAGAAAGAAGTCCTCGATGACTTCGTCTTCCGCCTCTCATATCAGCAATTCAACGATATTTGGTATAGGGTATGCATTGCAGCCGGCTTCCGACAAGTGCCTCGTCTATATTCGCTGCGAGTCGGGGCAGGTTCGAGGCTCGACAAAGACCGTAAGTTATCCTTGGCGATTGACACATTCGAGGGTCGAGTTCGACTTACAATTTATGTTAGCCCTCTTCTCTTCTGCTTTGCGAAACTGGGTCATGAGCCACACGAACACGATGTTTGAAGCTCAATACCAAACGTCGCGGCTCCGAGAAGACCTTCTGCAAGCAGCGTTTGGCCAACGGACCGGCTGCGACAACACTCATCTTTTCGCTTTCCTTCGAAATATGTCTATCTCCCGAGACCAGAATGCCCCTATAGACCTCAACCCCGATGACTGGGCCGAATTCGACAACCGCAAAGATGTACTCAAGCTTGAGGAGGCTATCGGCAAGGTGCAAGTGGCCAAGAATCAAGCGAGCTCTAACAATGACAAGGAAGAGATGGCGACCCTCACGGAGCTGTTCAGGCTACTGCGCTCGAGGCATAGGTATCTACGCCATGCATGGGGCAAGCTAAGACTGGTAGAGCTACGAAACAAGTACTTTGGAGAGGCTGATCGAGCCCGAGCCTTGGGCAAAGAGCCGCCTAAAGTTGCCACGATTGTTTCGAACCAGACCGCCGGAATACGCGCTCTCAAAAGCAATGCTCAGATAGCAGGCCAGATCATCCAACATGTCGATCGTAAATGGAATGTTTCGAGTGACGATGACGATCAAGGACGGTACATAGACCTCCTCGTCGCGTATGGCAAGGGATGCTCGAAAGCGGATCTTGACCTCTGGGAAGACGAGTACACGAACACAGAGGACAACGAGGACGATGCTACCGACGAAGACGACGACTACTGTGAGAAAGAGGAGAACAATAAGGACCACATTGGAGCTGGGGGAGGGGAGGACGAGACCTGGAGATGCATCATCTGCGACCTCAACTTCAGCAGCCGCAAGACACTCACGAGCCATTTCGAGAAACATAAAAGAGCGCAGTACTTCAATATCAAGAAGCCACGTCGATGTCCCCAATGCCGGAAAGACAACAACAAGAAGAAGAAGGAGGACTGTTTGGTCGAATCCGGCCTGCTCGCTTGGTTCAATCATCTCGAACGATTTCACGGCCCATACAGTCTTCCCTATGCTTCGGCGGACTTGAAGGACCCGGCAAAGTTCCCATGTCCGTTTTCCATCTGCAACAGTAAGGGCAAGCACAAGCTGTTCAACTCCCGCGGCCTCACCGGACATCTTTCCAAAGCTCATGCAGCTGAAATGGATGACAAAAAGAAAGACAAGTTCAAGACAGAGGTCCGATGTGGCCAATGCTGTTCGTGTAAGAGATGCACTTCCCAAGGAGTCGGGCACGGCGTTTTAGTCAACAGCATATCGGAATGGAAACGGCATTTCGACATGTTCCACGCTGATGAGAAGCGAGCTCTTTACCGGTGCTTTATTTGCCAGGAGGCAACCCGCACCCCTGGAGGTCTCAAGTCGCACTTCTGGAACTTGCACGAGAAACGAGAGGGCTACTTCGAGAGACCTTTCTCATGCCCGCAGTGCGTTCGAGGTGGAAACATTGATTCGCCGAGCATAATGGGCAGAAAAGCATGGCAAGAACATGTCGACAAATGTCACAACGGAGGTGCTATGGAACACAAGTCTAACGAAATCATCGAGTCACCGGACACCACTTCGCATTATCCTTGCTTGGTCTGTGGGCGCTGCTATCATGGACGTGCCGTCCTGCAAGAACATCTCTACCTCAAACACAAACAAGTCTTCGAGACGATCCCCTTTCAGTGTCCTCAATGTATGCGTCAGTTCGACAACATAAATGCGTGGATACACCATACAACGCGCGAACATGAAAGGAGCGAACGCAGCAAGGCGTGCACTGTTGGCAGTCACAATAAGGGGGCATCCGTGCCCACTGTTCCAACAAGCGAGAGAGGATATATGGATCAGATCAAGCAGTCAGATGAAGAGTCAGTTACGGATATGGGACTGATATATGAAGACCGGCCTGGTGGAGGCGAAGGCGCGATAGGATGTGGAGACGTTGAGGGACCGGAACCCAGAAGCAGTTCATCCTTCGGTGCAAGTTGCAAGAACAACAAAAGGAAGAAGACTGGAGATGATATTACATCGAGCATTGGGAGCGAACTTCGTCCTCATCAACGGCTCCGTTACTCTATTTCTGCTTCAGCAGTGGGTACTAAGCCTGAGCTTGTCGACGACGAAGTTCCTATAGACCCCGAGCTGATGAAACTGAGTGGTTTGGTTGCCATGGAATGTTCAGCATGAAAAGAGAAGATATCTAAAGCCAGATAGAGAACTTAGCCCTAAGTCATCCTCCATTCAATACTATTCCAACCCGTCGCTCTGTAGCCATCTTTGTGGTTTTGATAGATAGACTCAAATCTTGAAACAGGAGGACTGTCATATCTAGGATTTCTCTAGAGGAGACCGATTCTGAGACCTTGTTCGATGACCCAGTACATAGTTGTTCCTATTCCACAGCCGTTCCCAGTGTCAAACACCACAGATTTATTCATTTATTCATGGACTGTTCCAGCCGCCCTTGTGAGTTAAAGCTCTGAAATGAGAATAAGTGTGATCATTTTATTCATCAAATGAATAGTATCGAGTATCGACCCAAACGTACGCAAAGCCCTTTTCGCCTGCCTGAGCACAGATACGACTAAGTTACGTTCATAACTGACATAGTTCAAGCCGGAGCATAACGTGTATCACGAGATAAAAGACTATGGGTGCAAAATATCGACCAAATCATTGTTTATGGTCACGGCCATATCGACGCTTAATGTAACGCATAGGGAGCAGTGTGTAAAGGTCGTCATACCGCATAGCTGCTATAAAGTTGGATTCCATATCTAATGTCACTGAGACATTTGTCTGGTAGGTAGCATGTGGTATTAGGCAGTAGGAATACAGAAACAAACATAAACAGCTGTTCTTCGCCAGCCTGGGAGCGACAGGTATCTGGGAGCTAATCTATCGTGTCTACCACCGGGGACGAAGACATTATTCTACCTTCTTCTTCTTCTCCTCCTTTTCCTTTGATATAAGCTCTGCAGATGTTTTCCTGATCGGTAAGGGGTAGTGATTCTCCTTTGTGACTAATTAGCGCTATCTATATGTACCAGCGATATGACACTAACAATCTTTTTTGAGGAGAGGGGCCAACAGTCGCACTTCAGGGTCTTGTACTCCCAGATTTTTCCACGACGTACAAGCAGATAAACGTCGGCGTTGAACTGGGCCAATTCTCCACACCTGTTTATCACGGTCTGCAGACGTTTTGAGAAGTTCTCATTGGTTCGATCGCGTTTATGCTTCACGATTCCGGGGTTATTCGTTGGCATACTGTGAGAATTAATGTAAATTTTACCGTGGACTGCTGGCTGGTATATATGGTGTAGTAGGACATTGGCTAGACGTTGTTGCGGCGCGATAATTCTCCTGTAATAAGAAGACCGTCTTCGTCTCATCACTCACGGGCTACAGGTCCCGGAATCAGCCCCCCTTTGCCTTTGGTGATGGGAGGCGGAAACAGTTTGGACCCAAAATCAAATACAGACAAGACAAACGAAACGTCCTATGGAATTGGATATATAAAAGTGGCTAACGTGCTTCCTATACTGAAGTATGCTAAGCTAGTCGAATGAGCTTGGTTTGCAGCTGTGGACTTGGGAGGTCCAGGTCGAGCTCGGCTCAGTTCTTCTCTAGTCTTGCTGGATTCGGAAAGGCCTGTCCAAACTCGTTCACAGCTCGCTCGCGACTTGTTCTCAGCTTCACTCAAGGGTCCAGAATCGGGCCTTTCTCATTACACTAGCCACGCCTTGGATTCATGCAAGTGGAGAGCTAGGTGGACCAATTTTGTACACCACGTTGAACCAAAATCGGGAACCAGAGGGGGGCCTGAAAAGGGAATCGCGTTAAGAGACAGGAGTATCGCTGTACTTGGGAAAACATCGCTTTTTTTTTCATACCCGCTCTCTTTCCATAGACCAGCGCGCAACTTTCAATATTCCAACATCAACAATGTCGATCCCTCGTTGGATGCTTCGAAAACTCCCAAAATCGCTTACGTCCCTAGAAATAGTGGATTTACAGTTTGGACACTTTACAGGTCCAACTGCACTATCCAAGTATTCCTTGATACAACCACGACAATATAGATGGCCTGACACTGAGTGAGTGAGCTATCATGCAGCATTTTCAGTGATCACTCACCACAAGGTGTGCAGATACGCTCAATGTTAGCATCTACTCCGACCGATTCGAAACAAATACGGCATTCGAGCCCAAAAACTCGAATAACCCTTTGCGAGCAGGTTAAAAGGTCGCGGGCAAGATGGCCCTTTGGGCAACAAAGTTTGGACGAGCCGTCGCTACCGACACATTCGCCGCAGATGACCTAGTAAGCTGTTAGGGCGCCTAACAACAGATTTATAGTCCACATACGCATCCGCACTCGTCGAACACAAATATCCGGGATTCGACGTCTCCTCCGTCACCAAGAACATTCGAACATAGGCAGCAATGTTCTTGATCGACTGTGAGGTCAACGATCGATCTGCTAGGCTTGGATTGACCAAACGCGCTGCGCTGTTGGAGATGACATTCAGGCACGTCTTCAGCATCAGGCCCTGTTGGGTCCATCCTCGCACGAGAGGCTTTAGCTGATGATTGGTAAGCATGATTCCGAAGAGCTAGTTTCTACCTTACCATGCAGGTCGTCGAATTCTGGAGAGAGTTGAGATGCAAAATCGTCGCAATATTGAAGAAATTCGAAGTCAATAAGGGATCGGAGCCCTGCGCTCTACTTCAGTTCCTCTTTGCTGACCCATATAACCATCGCGTTGGTATCGTATGATTGGTTCTTCCCCTTGGAACGCTTCATTATTTTGCAGAGTCTAGCCGTGAAGTTCTGCAAGAGGGGAATGTGCAGTGTCGTTCCAACGATAATAACCGCATCGATATCTTGACATAGGTCCTCCTTGAACGCGCTCATTATCCGAGGATCGGCACCATCGCTCTCGTTGTACAGCAACACGTCAGGTCGGAGAAATCCCACATTGTGCAGCCTCTCTCCTTCTCGGGACCGCTCGTCATTCTCTCTGTCGCATACGGGACATCTTGCGCCAAGCAAATCGTGAAAAGATTGCTCCTCAACCGACACTGTGTGCTGGGAGTATATGTGACACCTCATTCTGTCAAGTCGACCATGAAGAGTAGCTGTTTTCTAGTTTAGATTGGGGAGCTTGTTCGTGCGAAAATCAATGTTTTGCGTGTAGTGACGACGGAGACGGCCTGACTGAGCTAAGTGCTCCATGAAGATCTCAAAAGGCTTCGGTCCATGTTTCGATGCCGACTTAAATATCTGGAGTTCGTTCTGGTGCAATTCTTTGGTACCATCCAGCGAGGAGTATGCTGATAGTGTCAGAAAGGGAAGGCGGTGATACTTGCGTTCCACATACTGGAATGCTAGGAATCTGTATATAAGACCTTTATCCAGCCAGATAACTATATTATAACTTAGACTTTTAAATAATTTAATAGGATTATATATATTACTTTTAACAGGTTATAAGTCTAAACATTTACCTAAGTGTATTTTTAGCTATTAAGGGTTAAAATTATACTTTATTTTTAACCCTTTACTATTTATAAATATAAAATAACGATACGCGTTAAAATTCCATTTTATTAATCCTATAGATAAAGATTATATTAAAATATTATTACTTTAAATAATAATTAATAAGGTTAAGTTTTAAAGGTTAATTTAAAGAATTTTTAACTTATTAATTCTTTAAAATAAATAAAGGTTAAATAAATTATATATAATTAATTATTTAAAAATCTTTAACTTAACCTTCTTCTTTTAATAATTATAGGAATAATTATAATTATATTATTAATATTTAATAATAAAAATGTTATTAAATATTTATTATAACTTTTATAATTAAATATAACTTTAAATATTTAATATTATTTATTTTTTAAATATTTAAACTTTTTCTTATTTTATATATAAAGTTTTAATATAGTTTAAATATTTTTTAATTAAAAAAATATAAATAATTAAAATATTAACTTAAATTTAAATTATATTAATCAATTACCCTTATCTTTATTATTATTATTAAAGGTATTTAAAGTTTCTTTTTACCCTTTAATACTTAATAATTAAAATCTTTTTAATTATAAAGTTAATATTTTATTTAATTATTAAACTTTAAAATTAATTACTTTAAAGGACCTTTTTATTAACCTTAATGCCTTTCTTTTTAATATTAATTTTTAAATTAAAAACCTTAATTTAAATTTACCTTTTATTTTAATTAAAAACTTTTAAAGTAATTACTTTATAAACCCTTTCCTATTAAATACCCTTTTAAAAGATTTATATTAATAATATATTATAATATTAAACTTTAAAGAAAAAACTAATTAAAAATTATTTATTATTATTTAACTTTATATTATAAAACCTTTTATAACTATTAATTTATTTATTAAATTAATTAAGTTAACCTTATTAATTATTATTATATTATTTATAATATTAATAATTAATTAAAATATTATTAAATAATATTAAAAAGTTTAAAAAGGTAGCCCTTTTTAATAGTTTAAAATAATAGCTAAAGTGGAATTAAAATATATTAAAAAAACTTAATATAAATAGGTTTATTTAAATATTATTAAAAAGGCTTTATAAGGTAGCCCTTTAATAAAGAAAAGGAAAAAGTAAAGAAATCTTTTTTATTAAAAAGGATAAATAGTTTAAAAAATATAATATAGCTAATATTATAATTTAAAGTAAATTATTATAAAATATTTATTAATAAATTTAAACTATATTAATAAAACCTTTTAATATATTTATTTTATTATAAAATAAGCTATATTAAAATTATAAGTTTAAAAAAAAGGTTTAATTTATATAATATTATTAATAATAAGAAAAAATAATATTTAAATTTATTAATAATATTATTTAATTTATTATTATATTATAATAGATTTAAATAAATATAATTAAGCTTAATTTAATTTTAATTTAATTATATTTATATATTATTAAAAAATTTATTAATAGTTTTAAATTTAAATTTAATTCTTTATTAATAATTTAAAAAATTAATACTTTTAAAATTTTAATTATTAATATAGTTAAAATTATAATATAAATAATAATTACTTTAAAAAAGGTAATTAATATAATATTATATTTTAAATAAGGTTAAAAGGAATAAATAATATAAATTACTTTTTTAATTATTAAAGTTAATCTTTTTTTATTTAAATAATAATTTAATAATAAAAGGAAGGTATATTTTAATTATAATAAAATATATTCTTCTTTTTATTTTATAATTTACTTTAAACTTAAACCTTTAAATTAAAATAAGGATATATATTTATAATAAATAAAATAGTATAAAAATAAAGTAAAAAGATTTAAAAAGAATAAAAATATAAAGGAAAAAAGAAAAATAAACTTTATTATACTTTTTATATCTTTTTAAAAATTATTATAAGCTTTATTTATTATTAAATTTCTTAAAATATATTATTTTTATAATTTATTTATTATTAATAAATTAATTTATTTTTATTAATTTTATTAATATTATATTTAGCTTAATATTTTTAATATTTAAAAAATTTATATAAAAGTTACTTTAAGGTAATACTTTTTAAAATAAACCTAATATTAAAAATATTAATATTAAAGCTATAAAAAAACTTTTAAATAATATATTAAAGAATAATTATTTAAAAAAAGTTATAAAAGCTTTATTTATTATTATTAATAAAAATTAAACTAATAACTTTATAAAAATATTAAAAATAATATTAATTATTAATAATAATATTAATATTTTTATATTTTTAAATTTAATTAACTTTATTAATTTATATATTATATTATACTTTATAATTATTAAAATTAATAAATTAATAATATAATTAATTTAATATAAAGATTATATTTTTATTAATATAATTAATAAGATAAAGAAACCTATTATATTAAGGAATATAATTTATTATTTAATAATTAATATAAATTTAATCTTTATATTATACTTTATAGGATTTAATATTAAATTCCTCTTTTAAAGTAATAAAGTTTATACTTTAAAGAAGGATAATATATTTTTAAAAGATATAAAATATAATAGCTTATATATAATTAATTAATTTAAGTTAAATATTAAAGCTATTATTATTACTTTTATTATTTATTCCCTTTTTAATTTTAAACTTATATTATAATATAAACGTTTTAAATATATTAATAAATCTTTAATTAAAAAATTAATAAATGTTAAATATATTAAGCTTTAAAAACTAGCTTATATATATAAATACTATATTT